CAGTTTTGCCCTGTGCGTCCAGTGCCTTGTCTGGCCACTTGAGCAAAGTTGTCTGGCCTCATAGTAAAAGGGATTCTTTTTTTTTTTTTGTTTGTTTGTTTAAGGAAGGTAGCAAGGTTCAACTCAGTTCAATGTATGTTTTCGAGATGCGAAAAGAGTGCCAGAAAATGCGGCCTCCTGAGTAGGAGCAGCGAAATTGTGCATGGCTGTGCAGTTTTTTAAGGTCACGCACATTAACGAAAAAAAAAAAAAACTTGTTGTAGAGCGAGCGTAGTGGCTGCTTGGTCGTCCCTGTGCTGCCACATCTTTTAAATTCGCGATTTTCTGATGTAGGAAGTGGGCAGTCAGTCATTCACGCGGCCGTTAAATGCCCCATCACGGCACCTGTTTTCGTGCCAGACAGACAACTGCCGAATGTTTACACTTTATATTACATGCCAGAGGAGATTGTGGTGTACAAAAAAGACCCTGCGTCATCCTCATTTTGCACTGTTGTTTTCCAAGAATTCCGACTAGGGCGTAGCTCGCATTTACCACGCAATTTTTGATTGCTGGTATCGGAGCACACGCGTGTGAGACAAAAAAAAAAAAAAGAGTAAGGAGGGAGCCAGCGCCTCCAACAGAAGCGCTTGCTTGACGTGAGGTGGCTAGCCAAGCGTGCGCTTACAAACGGACGCACGCACAGAGGACTGTGCGGCCCTCTCTGTGGCTGTTCTATCGTATGGACGCACCCACGCCCTTAGGCATGCAAACGTTGGGGGTGCGGCTGTTAACCTTTGGGGTGGGGGGGAGCTCATTGTCAGCCCTTTGCATTGACATAATAGAGAGGGGTGCAGCGACTCGGGCGGACTTGTGAGGCTGCCACAGACCTTCACTCTCCCGCACATGTACCCAGAAGGGGAACTGCGCATGCTTTTGTCAATATCTCGCCAGACACTTTCTGTACCTTTTGTTTATGTGGCCCCTTTCCCCTCCCCCTCAAGAAGCTAAGCTGTACCGTGCTTTTCCCGAACCTAATAGCAAGGCCTTTTTAAGCAGCTCGCCACGATTAACCAGCGCTTATCCTTTTCGCTAGTCAGAACTTTTTCGTCTTTTTTTTTTATTCGACTGTTGTTTCCTCTCACTGTCTCTTTTATCTCCATCCCCCGTATTGAGCGCTTCTCCCCCATATCCTCACCTTTTTTTCCAACATTCTTGTTTCTTTTCCTGTTTTTTTAACTTATCCACAAAGGTTGCCGAAGAGTCCTGGCTCCGAAGAGTGGAGAAGGACGAGCTGGCGAGCTGGGGGACGGCGAGTGGTCCGCAGGACTGTATTGTGGTCCCTTGCCCAACAAAATAAGTCGTAAGCAAGCGACGACAGGCCTCGCACACAGGCCTTGCACCCGGAGCAATGTTATCTCATGTGCCCTACGCCAGCCTTCGTGCTACGTTGATGGCCGGGTCGTTGCATCTGTGCTTCAGCCGCGGTCGTCCCTAGGTTTTTTTTTTACTCGCATGCGTAAGCGATGTTATTGGTTTGGACTCTGTACAGATCAGCGGCGACCGCGAAATTCCGCTGGCAGTGTTCATGTAATTGCTAGCGCAATATACCCCCACCTCCCCCCGTTGAGTAGATGTCTCAGATTTCGTTTCTCCAAACTTGGTAGGTATGCAATGAGTTGGCTGCGGTAGAAGTGACAATTGGACGAGTTTAGCTGAAGGCCTGGCTTGCGGAAAACAGAAATAATGGTCGAGAGACGCTCGAGGTGGGTTTCTAAAGTCAGTGAGAAGACAATGATGTCATTAAGGTAACACAAGCAGGTTGACTATTTAAAACCAGGAATGAAAGCGTCCATCATTCGTTCGAATGTAGGTAGGGCATTGCATGACCCGAACGGCATTACTTTAAACTGATAGAGTCCGTCAGGAGTTATAACGCTGTCTTTTCACGGTCCATGTCATCAACTGCTATCTGGCAGTAGCCGGAACGGAGGTCAATGGAAGAAAAATAATTTGCTCCACTAAGGCAGTCAAGGGCGTCATCTGTCCATGGCAGAGGGTACAAGTCTTTTTTCGTTACCTTATTAAGATTCCGGTAGTCGAGACAGAAATGCCAGCTGTTAGCTTTCTTTCTGACGAGGACGAAAGGCGAAGCCCAAGGGCTTGAAGAAGGCTTAATAATGTTCCAAGCAAACATCTTGTCGACTTCTGGATCACGTGGAATTCGGTGGAGGATATTCGGTAGGGCCGTTGATGTATCAGATTTGCATCGCCGGTGTTAATCTGATGCTTTACAACGATATTTCGGCCTAGTGGTCGGTCGTGGAGATCAAAAATGTCTTGATACGGGACGCAAGAAGGCCAGGAAGCGCGCCCACATGCTCGGCCAGGAAATCAGAGGCAATCATTTTCGTTATGCCATTTCATAGAGTGCCCAACTCAAGACTGGCAGGTGACAGTGTATCCTCTGTCAAGGCGGAAATGTGGTAGTCGCCGGCCGGGGCAAGTTTTGCAAGGCATATTCCTCGGGGCAGTACTTGCGAGCAAAGTCCAAAGTTCACAATACGGAGACGTGCCTTATTGTCGTTCATAGTGATAATCGTGTACGGAAATGTTACATTGAGCGAACAAAGGACGGTAGCGTTAGGTGAAACGACATAATCTTCGTCGGCCACAGGCTGATTGGAAGAGACGTCTGTATACGTCACAGCTCGACAGAATAGGTGAATGTAGTCGATGGAGCATAGCCTTGCAGGCACAGGAGGGTTAACGGCATGTGGTAGAGCGAGCTGAACAACACCTGAGCAGAGCAGTTAATTAGAGCGGAATGCAGTGGTGAAGGACGTAAAACAAAACAGAAGTATGACATCCAGCCACAGTGACTTGGACGGCACACATCCCAGTGACAGCTGGTGTTGCTCGATTGGCTACTCGGACTACAGTTATAGAAGCAGGAGTGACCAATTTCTTTAGCCGAGCACGGAGGCTGGAGAAATTGTGTCAATATGCGAGCGTTAGTGTCAATGAGTGAGTGCTATTGCAGGTGTGCCGTCTACATTTACGTTGATCTGGTTCTGGTGTCCGGGTAGCGTGTGCAGAGGAATTTCGGGTCGGGTCATCAAGGCAGGCTCATCTTTAGGAGTTGCACCCATTCGTTTTCTGAGGACTGGTGGTGGTAAGAGGGATAGGGAGAGTGGCGACGGTTAGGTGAGCGGGACAGGCGCCTGGATGATGACGGCGAGCGGTTTCGTCAAGCGGGCATGGGTAGTGAAGCGTTGTCGTGGTAAGCGCGTATTGACATGCAGAAACCATTAGTTGGGCGCCGGGTGTTAGCGTAGTGCGGCCATGGCTGCCAATTTCAGGAATTACAGCAGTCACGTGAAATATGGCCAACTCGTTTGCAGTAGAAGCAGATCGGTCTGTCATCGGAGGTTCGCCATTCAGCCGAGTTCCAATAACGTAGATGGTTGTACGGACAGCGAGACATGTCGGGTACACTAGGTAGTCGGTTGGGTCTGTGAACTGGGCAGAGCGTTTGTAGTTCGGCGTTGGCCAGTTGCTGGCATACAACGGTCTCGATTAAAGAAATCGTTGCACGGGAGAGAATCGTCAGTAGCACGAGCATGATCAGCAATAGATTAAAGAAATCGTTGCACGGGAGAGAATCGTCAGTAGCACGAGCATGATCAGCAATAGATGTGGCCTCGATTTCACGGTGGATGATGCGCATAATATTGTCAAAAGTAGCAGCAGCTGAAGGGAGACGGGCGTTTTCGCAGGTAGATCCGGCAGCTGTGTTAGGAAGACGCAAAATTGGGGAGTAATATGAGGACTTTTTGCTTCTTCAAAGCGTCGGCGTTTATTAGTGACGTCGTCCACTTTCGAAGAGTTGGGGAACACAAGGAGTGTGAAGGCATCGTCCACAATTTCTTCGAGGACGTGCGTGACCTTTTCGGATTCCGGCATCTTGTCGTCAACCTTGCGGCAGATGGTGAGCACATCCTGAATGTGTGTTACGTATGACTCGGTGTAGGACTGCACTCGGTACGCAAGTTCTTTCTGCGCCAAACGACGACGTCCAATGGCCTTGCCAAAGAGATCGATGAGTTTGCCCTTGCAAATGTCCTAACTCGCGATTTCTTCCTCGTGGTTGGAAAACCAAACATTGGCTGTGCCCGCAAGGTAAAATAGAATATTGACCAACATGACCGTCAGGTCCCAGTTGTATAGTGCGCTCACCCGTTCGTATAGATGAAGCCATTTTTTGACATCCTTGTTGTCGTTGCCGGAAAAGGTGCCTGGGTCATGTGGTTCAGTCATAACGATGGTGCAGTTCGTAACGGCTGGATGCGACGCTGTTGGACGCTGTGCGGTTGGATGAGGCACGCTTGGGAAGGTACCGACGAATCCTCGTTCTCGTCAGGATCAGCCATCGTAGAGGCAGCCAACGAGCGTCCTCTGCGTAGAATTGTCATGGGTGTTGGTTCTGAGAGGACCCGCACTTTCCACCAGAATGTTACGGGGAAAAGGCATTTGAGAAATATGCTTACTACGGATAAACAGGCAGGCATACAAGATGGAACCCAGTCTGTAGAGAGCTCAAACATGGTCTTCTTTCCTATCGAGTTCATCCGTGGTGCCACGTAGCAATATCTTAAAAACCCTTTTTTCCTTGTTATAACCGCTTTAAACGGGCACCGCAAACAACCTTCAGAGCGTTGTTAGTTGTCTTTTCTGTTGGTTCACGGAGAGACTGAAAGCACCGGCCGTCGACGGAAGGAATGCCCAACGGCGGTCAGACTCACCCTATCAGCCCTAGCAGCAGCACTGCTTTTCTACGTGGACTTACTGAGTGCTAGTAAATGTTTGATAAAATGTGACCCGATTCCTGTTAATTAAAGTCACTTTTGTTTAAATGTTCACAAGTGTTCAACCGTTTACTGGCTGGATAGCAGACGCTTTGACCCATCAAATGCGAGATTAGCGTATCTGCATTTTTGTTTTTTATTTCTTCTTTGTAGACGATCTGCTCGGCCCGAGGGGGGCAAGCGGTCGTACACAGAGGCCGAACTTCAGGCAGCCCTGCGTGATATCCAGAGTGGCAAACTGGGCACGCGGCGTGCTGCCGTAATTTATGGCATTCCCCGCTCCACTCTACGCAACAAGGTTTACAAGCTCGCCCTGGAGCGACGCAGTGGCACGACGGCCAGCAACAACAGTGCCCCCGACACGCTGCGCCAACTACTGCGTAGTACCCCAGCCAAGCCACTTGAGCACAGCCCAGCCCTGGGGCCCCTATTTGCCCAGGTCAGTTCTAGTATAGTGGGCACTAATTGCATGAACCATGGCTAAAATCTTTTCTTCGTGAGTACTTACCTGTCAAAATCGTGGAAAGAACAATGCTATTTTCATCTTTTATTTTCATTCGATCATTGTCTAGTGATTCTCCGCCACGGTGGTCTAGTGACCAAGTTACTTGGCTGCTGACCCGAAAGTCGTGGTATCATATCCCGGCTGCGTGGCTGTATTTTCGGTGGAGACGAGATGCTCGAAGCTCGTGTGCTTAGATGTAGCTGCACGTTAAAGAACCCCAGGTGGTCAAAATTTCCGGAGCCCTCCACTACAGTATCTCATAATCATATGCAGGGTGTCTACCAACCCGGAAAACCTGGAAAAGTCGGGGAATTTCCGAAAAATCTGGCCTGGTCATAAAAACTGATGGCACCCTGTGCGATCGTCACAAAAATACACATTACCATTGATCAAAACTTAAAAAGCTACTCCTTCAGCTGCAACTACAGTAAACAGCAAGAAGATGCGTAAAAAAAAAATAATGATAAAGAGCAGTGCGTAACTGTTGCTTCTTAGTGTAGATGCAAAAGGATAGACCTACCAAAGGTACTGATGTTTCAGCACCCACTATGGGAGCCTTGTTCACAATAATAGCCATAAGAAAGGCACAGGATTTAAGTACGCCTAAGTACGTGAAATGCTCAGAATACAGCCAACCATTATACATAGCCTTCATAGATTACGAGAAGGCATTTGATTCAGTAGAAATATCAGCAGTCATGAAGACACTACGGGAATCAGGGCATCAGCGAAGCATGTATAAGCATCCTCGAAGAAATCTACAGCGGATCAACTACCGCCATAGTGCTCTATAAAGAAAGCATCAGAATACCAATAAAGAAGGGTGTAAGACAAGGGGATATAATCTCCCGAATGCTATTTACCGCGTGCTTACAGGAGGTTTTCAGAGGCCTAGACTGGGAAGACTTGGGATAAGAGTTAATGGAGAGTGCCTTAGTAACTTGCCGCTGATGACATTGCATTGCTGAGTAACTCAGCAGATGAATTGCAAGTCATGATTACTGAGCTAGACAAGGATAGCAGAATGGTAGTTCTTAAAATTAATCTGAAGAAAATGAAACTAATGTACGACCTCATGATGGTGATAGCACTTTTCACACATGGCCGGGGCGACCTCTACAACTCACTGGCAGCTTCTTGCAGTCTCTTTCGTAGCCAAGCCAAGCCAAGACTGTCAAACGTCAAATCAAAATGGTGGTGCCCAGGCGGGTTCGGCAAACTAGGTTGTAACACATCATGCAGGAACGTTCTGGGCAATAACAGCGCACAAACTCACGGGGCGAAGAGAAGGGACACAGAGGAATGTTCTCACAGTTAGAACGTAACAGTGGGGTTCGCAGTACATGGGATTCTATGAGAGCTATGCCGGGCTCGATGTAAGACAACGTAACAGTCGAGGAAATGCAGCAGTGAGGAACGTAACAGCAGGGTTCCTCTATACTAGCGAGTCAAGCTCGCCATGGCTGGCTGAGTGCGCGCTTTCGCATTAGATCACGCTTGTGCTCTGTTCTTTGTAAGCATTTCGCTTATGTTCCGCCTACTACGCACTCCTCTTGCAGGACTGTATTAACATTTTGCCCATCTGAATACTATAAAAAAAAAAAAGAAAAGGGTATATATCGCTCATATCGGTGTGACGTGTTGGGTGCCACTGTTTGCACGGAATGTGCAAGCGCATTTTTTGCCTCATTCTGTTCCGCATAAAATATGGGACAGTAAATAAGTCTAGTCAGGAAAGCTTCATGGCTGACATTGCTTTACGTTACATTGACATTTACCACGTACGCACAAGTTCATCCACCAGTAAACTATCAAAAGCTCATAAGAGCTCTGCAAAAAGCTTTCATTGAATGATTACGTGCATATGACAGTGATGAAAGAAAGGTGTGCTCATTTCATGGGAAGAACATTTTTTTAAATTTTTTTTTCAATTGAAGAGTAACCGCTGCCTTCCGTCAGTCAATAACAAGGCCACACAAAAGCTTAAGACAGTATAAAAAAAGATGGCATTTTCTGTGAAATTACACAACAGTAATGTAAGGCACACTGTCTGAAATGATTTTGAACGTCGGGGGTTCTTCAGAGAATTTTTAAATCTAAGCACACTGGTGTTTCAGCGTAACTATCGCAGTGTGAATTTCCCCCAAAGTTAAAAAAGTTACACTCGCCAACTCCGTTTTAAAAAGCGTTTAAGTACCAAAGTGTCACACTTTACTTAGAATTACATCTCTGTAGTAGTGCCATGGCCTGATAATATATAACTAAAGTTCATCGTGTGAAGAAGAAAGAGCAAGGGAACTTGTCACTTTGTGTCAAAGTTTCGTTGAGTTGAGCAAGCAGCGCGCCCTGACTCGGCCATTTTCCTCACACGCCGACTCGCTCTCCAGTCTCACTTCTGTTCCCGACCACTCACCAATCCTGCAAGAGATTAAAGACTTCGTGCGTGAAGAAGTAGCTCGGCAACTGTCGTTGATTCCCTTCACGCAGCAGCCGCCGTCCTCTCGTCTGCCCTCACCACTCTGCGACGTTATTGCCGAAGAGGTAGCTCAGGCTGTTCCCGTCGCTGCCCACCAGCAGCCTGTGGCCATGCCTGTTGCCCATGCGCCGGCTATGCAGCCCGTGGCCGCGCCTCTTACGTATGCCCACGTGGTACGTAGCAGACCCCGCCAGCAGCATTTGCCACCCATGTCTTCAGTCGCTCCCCACTCCGCCCCTTTTTCGACACCTTGGGCCGCACCACGAGTCAGAAATTCCTGGCGCACTCCTGACAATCGACCGATCTGCTACGCCTGCGGTACTCCAGGACACGTGGCACGATATTGTCGCCGTCGCTTCCAACCACTCCACGACGCTACTCGGCCGTTACCGTATGACCCGCAGCCCATGCACATACCTGCTCCCTATCCCTCACCGCAGTATGGATACACTAACCTTCCTGAGTCTCGGTCACCCCAGCCCAGCACCCAGTACCCAAGCGGTGGCGATGTTGCTTGCCAACGATGCTCTTTCTTCTTCACAATCGCATAGTCGGTGAACTATATAGTGCTGTAGTTAGACACCCAACAACAAGGTGCAAGTGCATAGCCTGAAGCCTCGTTTTCGTTTACAACCAAGTCGCTCAGACACTGCATTCACTCACCATTTAATAGTGCAGTCGAATCTCATTCATTTGAACATGCTTAATTCAAACTTCTGGTTAATTCGAACTCACGATGAGGTGCCGTCAAATCTTTGTGTATTCCAATGGGCGAAAATGCCCAGTAATTCGAACGATCAAGCACTTGCGACCGTTAATTCGAACATATCGTGCTCTGCTGAAAATGCTCTCAGCACCCCACCCAATCCCGCGGCAGCACCTGCGACACGTCAACGCTGCACGCGAAGGAAATAAAAAGGAAAGAAAAGGCTGCAGTGGAATGTTTGCTCTCTCTCAAATGCTGATCTGCGATGCGCCCGTGTCATGCATCTTCCTTTTCCGTCCCTGCCACGTAAAAACCTTCCTCCTTCCAACACCGCGCGCGAACAGAGACAGGGGGGAAAAAAAAGCTGTCGCTGTGTTGAATGAATGTGTGGTTGAAGGAAAGAATCTTTTTGCAGCCCTTGCCCCTTGCGGGAGCACGGCTCTGCGCCTTGAGGGGGTGGGGGAAGAGAGTCTCCCACGCGCCGGTGCCACGCTTCCCCCTTTCCTGTCCCTGCCACGTAACCCTTCTCCTTTCAACGACACGCGCAATGAGAGCAAAAAAAAAAAAAAAAAGTTGCCGTGGAGTGTTGGTTTTCTCTCAAATGCCGATCTGCTTCTCTTAGTGGAGACACTCCTCCTTTCACGTCACGCGCTGGCCATGGTGCGGCTGCATAGCAGAGAGGCGACTGCGCAGCGGAGAGGCTCCGCTACGCAGTCATTGTTGTCGTTATCTTTAGAAAGTGTCGGCGCTGGACATTTCCGTGCACAACTTGCCAGGAGAAGGCTGAAGCCGAAGTAGAAATGCTTTGCAAGCTGCATGCGAAATTGATTGACTCGCTGCAAGGCAAACATGTGCAGATGCGCATCACCGATTACTTCAATTAATAACAGATGTCCTGTGATTTGTGAATAAATGTCAGTCTTTTGAAACTTCCCCCTCGTGTATTAGCTCAATGCACATGCGCCACTGCATGGAGAGTCCTCCGTTTATTTAGCTTTCAATAATTCAAACTTCTTTTAATTCGAACAAATTTTCGGGCACCTTCGAGTTCGAATTATCGAGATTCAACTGTATTCATGTTTGAGACGATACCAAGTGCATTTTACGATGTGCTTTAAGGGGGGAGGTGGCATTGAAAAAAAACTTATTTATTGACCTACAGCAAAGAAATTTGGCATGCATACTCATAAGTGTCTCGAATAAGGAAATATGCAGTTTGATCATGATACCTTCAGTAGTTCTCAAGTTACATAATGCTACATGGTCCAATTACATGGTCTGCTTGAGGAAATCCTAGCGCTGTAACAAAACATGCCAGGAAGCTGCGATTGGTGTTGATCTTTACTCAAAAGAAAGCTACAAGGTATGGCACTCTCAGAATTCTTTAATAAGTTCTCTGACACACATTGTCAGAAACAGTGGCACGGACAAATCATCGTCCAGAAAAAAAAAAAACAGGGCCAAAGAACAGAAATTTAAGATTGCTGTACCCACAAGCAGTGTTCAGAGGCTCAGGAAAAAAAAAAACAGAATCAAAATCGGTCCAGTCATTCCCGTGCTACTCTTTCCACGAGCAATGCACAATGTCCAAAACACATATGTGAGAAAAAGCCTGTCGAAGTTTTCGGTAGGCTTTTTTCTAAGAACTTTTTTGTTTCTCGTTGGATATTGATGAAAATTGGCACAGACACTAAGAATGACCTACCTCACAATGCTTGAATTTTGAAGCGATACTACAAATACTTTACGAGA